GGATGACAAACTCATCTGGTTTCCTAATCCAAAAGGTAGATTCTATGTGAGATCTGCATATCAATTTGCTATTAGTAAAAATGCTGAAATGGTTCAAGAAAGGTCTTCATCCTCCTTGACTCCAAAACTCTGGAAAAAAAACCCTGCGCTTTTTAAGTTTCCCCAAAGATGAAACATTTCATCTGGAGGTGCTGCTAGAGCAGCATTGCAGTAAATCAAATCCTGTGCAAAAGGAATATTGTTGCAAAGGATCTGTGTAATTTGTGCGGAAAGGCCTTGGAGAGTATTGTGCATGCTCTCTTTCAATGTGAGCATGCTAGAGCTACTTGGTTCGGCAGTAATATTAGTTTAACAACTGAAAGTGTACATTTTTTAGAGGTCTTTTGCTGACTGGTGGGCTTGGTGGTTAGCTCAAGAGGCAGCAAGTGCAGACCCAGCTGGCTTTGTGATAGAACTTTCTGTTGTTATTTTGTGGTTCATCTGGAAATCCAGAAATGGCTTTGTGTTTGAAGAGTCCATGCCTAATCTCCATGTTACTTTAATTCATGTGTTCTGGTGGATGCTGGAAGTGAAGAGAGCTTCCCCTCCAAAATCAACCGGCTATTCCAGAATTAATCAACTGAAGGGCTCTGGTTTTTTGAGTAATTGGAGTAGTGTTTCTGGGTTTAAAGCTTTGTCTGATGGTAGCTTTTGCCCCCTGGGGCTAGTGGTTTTGGTTTTTGGATAGCAACTGCCTCAGGAGACTTTTTGTTTGCTAAATGTGGTGTTTGTAAAGTGGTTTCTGCTTTTTCTGCTGAAGTTTCAGCTGTTCTAGAGTGTTGTATTGCTGCTAAAAGACTTGGTATACAGGAGCTTTGCATTTACTATGATTCAGTTAATGTAGTTAGTGTGATTTCCCACAAATCTTTTGGCTGTGAACCTGAAGTTTGGCATCCTCTACATAATCTATATGCTATTTCAGATGTGAAGTTTAGACTTATCTGTACTGATCGTATCTCAATTAGTTCTGCTCATAAGTTGGCCATCAGAGGAAAGTCTCTTTTTGAAGAATTCTGGTCTTCCCCTCCCCTCTGGATGCTTCCCCTGCTGCCCTCTGAAGCTTCTAGAGTGATATCTGAAAAGGATGACGACCCTTTAAACCCCCTTGACTGTTTTAGTTTTCTTTTGTGGTAGTTTTTTAGTTTTCTTCTTCTTTCCTAGGTTAGTTTGTTTTTCTTTGTGTGGTTCTGTTTCTGTTTTCCTGCTGTTTTGTTTCTCTGTCCTGTGTGTTTATCTAGTTCTGTTCATTACCAAAAAAAAAAAAAGGCTCTGGTTCAGGGGACGTTTGATAACTCATTAAGTGGCTGAACTGGATAACTTATTGTTTAAGTCTTTTTGGTGAAATACTAATAATAGTAGGGAAAGTTTCACTTAAATTTATCTCATAAATTTTTGCTTTATTATAACCTGGCAACAGTTTAAAACTTTCAACACTCCCACTTATCATACCATAACCCCCTTATATTTGGCTTTAATTCCTCCTAGTGTCACTGTATTCCCATTTATAAGATGAAGTAAAAAAATTATGAATAGAATCGAGATTGTGTTGCATTAGGAGGTCAAGAAAGAAAAGAATGTGAGATTTGAGAGTGATATTAATTATAGGTTTTATGGTTGTTGATGTATTTGTAAAGGAATTTGCATAGGCGTGGTGTCCCACAGCCCATCGCAGCCATGTATTGGAAACATCTCTTCATGATAACTACGGAATATGTTCCCAATGCACGCTGGATGTGCATGTGGGACGCCTGTGGAGCACCAATCTGAATTCTTTGTAAAGCCCTTTTTCCAAATGGAAGAGGCTAAGCAGTAGCCAATGGATGAGAGAGAAGTCTGTAGTACCATTTTTCAATCTTTCTTTTCTGTTTTTCATAAGAGGTAAGGTGATTTTTTATCTTATCTTATTTTGCTTTGTTACTTCAATCATGAAAAAAGATCATTACACAAACACACTATACACACATATATAATATACCAGATGCACGTGTCGTTCAACTAGTGTGGATAATATCGAAAAGGATACATAACAATTGTCCTTTTTTTTTAACTAATGCATTATATTGTGTTTTTATTCTAGTTCAAATTAGATTATAAAGCCCAAAAGCCGAAGGAATAAAATTTTTTTAAACCCACCCAAGCCCAACTGAGAGCGACAACTCAATCCCAAATTATGTTAGGTTTAGCTTGGGCTGGTCTTAGATTAGCAAACTTGGGCTTTCGCTTTATGTTGGTCAGGCCCAGTCTAACATTTAGGTTATAGGATGGGATCTAGATTGGCTAGACCTGAACCAACCCACCCAAGTTGCACCCCTATGCCCCTTTAATGTTACAGTCAAATGAACAATCGATTCAATTACGTTGCTAAGGTAAATTCCGTTTCATGGCAATCGATTCAATTACGCATTCTGTCATTTATGCAAGTAAGTTGTTGCTTCTAAAAGACTGAATTTAGATTAGCTGAACGCCTTGGCTGTAGAACCAATGATTTGATTTCACGTCAGTAATAAATTCATGGGCTCCACTGTAAAAGGTGCGAGTCCCATATATTTTATTACTGGCGTGAAACTTTATCATTGGTTCGATAGCCTGTTAAACAGTCAATTTCACCTAAATTTATGAAATTTCTCAAAATTTCAGTATCGTTTGGGGCTTGAATAAAATTGTAATTACCAAAGTTTTTAAAACTGATCCGGACAACAAACCGGTTAGGGGTCCAGTTCCCAGGTTGAATGGTCCGATTGTTAGAACCAAATAGATGGCTCGTTCTGACAAAAATAAAAAGAATTGTCTAAACCGTCGAACGGTTTGAATGGTTCAACCACCCGGGTCAGTGATTTATTGACCAAATCAACGTTTTTTTTTGTAAAAATCCAATTTTGGAGAAAACCTCCAAT